ACAAGCATCAGATAAAGACAAGCATTCATAACTAAAAATAAAAATAAAAAAAAGTCACTTGCTGCATGCTGTTTCTGAGAAATGTTTTGTTGTTATATGGTCGTTCTTTTGTGGAGCTTCTATCTCTGTGTACTATAAAACTTCTCCAAGTGTTTTTTATTAAATAGCTATGGCTAAGAACCACTGGTCTAATGCACAGAGAACTGAGCCAGAACTAGAAAGCTGGACAGTCCACTCCTAAATTCTATGAACTCAGGTAAACCACCTGGTGTATTTGAGTTTTCTTTGTAAAATAGAGCTGTTAATGATAGCTTCTATGCCTGAAGACAAAAGGTTAGTAGCATGTCTTAATTTTCAGAAATCTTGAATTTTATTGCCAGTGTGTGTGAGAGCGCAGTCATGCATGTGGAAGTAAGATAACAACATTAAGGTTCTCACCACCTTGTTGGGGGGAGGGGTCCTCACCTGTTTATGCTGTGCAGCATACTTCTGGCCAGCTAGCCTGCAAGCTTCCAAGAGATTCTTCTGTCTCCACCTCCCATCTCACTTGCTGAAAGAGTACCAGAATTGCACATGCAGGCAACTACATCCTCATTTTTTACATTGGTTTCTAGAATTAAATTTGGCTCCTCAGGCTAGCACTGCAGGTGCTAGACCACCTCGTAAGCCCCGTTGTTACAAATGAATGAAACAATATTCTTACAGTTCCTTACAATAAACTGCTGTAAATTGGTAGCAGTTGAACCCCTCAAGGTGAAGAAAGATCTGTTCAGGCCTGGTCAGGTATTTATACTTTGGGGAGAAAGATTTTAGCTCTCCAAAGCACAAATAACTTGGGTTCCTTGACTGAGCACAAGGTATATGCTGATTCTTAGAGTTGTTCCTACTTTTTTTTTTTTTTTTTTTAGATCAGGCTGCTAGTAGCTATAGGTGGCAGCCAATCAACAGAGGGTAAAAGAAAAAGTGGAGTTGCTCTAAGAGGGCAATTTGAAAAGAAAAGTAAAAGAATATGGACTGGGAATGTAACTCAGGTGTGGAGCTCTTGCTTAGCACACACAGAGTCTTGAGGAAGTGGCAGGGGAGGGGTGGAGAGTCATATAATTAGAATCACCTTTTTCAAACTTACTCATGTCCTTGCATTCATTCCGTTAACATTGAACGTCTCTATTCCATGTAGTGTCCTGATGATTGGAATGTGCCACTAAAGATACAGACAGGTTCCATCCTTCATAACTTATAGGGAACTACTTATAGGTGAATGAGTGGTCAACCAATGACATCCTGTATGCATCAGGGGAAAGGTACCATGCGTCTTTCTTCTTATTCACTACTCATTCGGGGTAAATAATAAAGAAATTATATTAAATGTGAAAATATCATGGAACCTGGGGGGGGGATGGAGAGTAAGAATCACCTGCTGTTTGTATGTTTTATGTTGTATTAGTCATCAGCAATTTAGGGAAGACTTGGCTGTAAGGGTTTTTAAATAACTCTTCTGAAGGTCTAAAATCCATTACTTGATACAGTTGCTTTGTTTTTCGTGCTCCAATCCTGACCTCTAGTGGTTGCCCATGAAAAATCCCCAGAACCAAATCTTTTTTGTGGTTACCTATCAAATTCCAATTTAGCTATCCTAAAACATTGGACCTTTAAAGAGTTTAAAGAGAGGCAGAGTAAAGCAATGGACTTTTGGCTTAACATACTGTAATATTCATGCTGAAGGCCTTATATTTAAAAGCAGCCAGTGCCTCTTTACTTTTCCTTGTTATCTATCACTTTCTCCATTCTTTGAGGAAGCTGAGGACATTACTGTACAGACCATACAAGAGAGAAATATCAAAGAAAGGCAAACTGGGTTCTGTTCTGATTATGTGTTGCTTGTTGTATGGTACAAGCTACGCCGGAACTGACTGGATTGAAAGCCACAGTTTTGTGATGGGACACTGCTGTCATGTAACCTCCTGGTGGTGTGCACTGAGAAGAAGAGCACATTGCCATCTCTGTGACATTTGTGCAAAAACATAACCTAAATTTAATTATAATGGAAATCAAATTGAGGAACAAAACCACTGGCCAGTATTCTTCAGAAGTGCCAGGGCCATGGAGATGACTGTAAAATCTCTCCTAGATGAAAGACTAGGTAGATCTGACATCACATTTCAAAGTATGGCCCAGAGTTATATCCTAGATCAGAAACAAATAACATTTGTGGGCATTTGACAAAGGTTTAATGCTTATTTCTTGGTTTGGTTTATTGTGTATGGTTTTATTATGTAACATACTGTCATTTGGTGAAACTCATTAAAAGGTATGCAGAGATTCTTGGAACCTTTTTTCAGATATTTTCTTAAATCAATTCAATGAATGTTGTAAAAATTAAAATCACTTCTTAATTTTGTTCATGATCTCATAAAGCTACCAATTTAGGAAAGGATCAGCTGTGTGATCACTTCTTGATCCATGTGGCATGAACTAGACCAGTTCAATTGACTTCCAAGTTCACTTCTCTCATGTATCAGCATCTTGGTAATCCTTGATCTTTACTAGTGACCTTGTCTGGTCCACCATACCCTCTCATTGTTCATCTTTTTAGAACATGAAGGTGTTCTTGTTTCTTTTGTATTTTTTTTTTGTCCAGATGCCCTACTGCTCGATGGGAGACATGTCAAAGAATTGTAGCCACCACAGATACCTAACTAAAGTTTTACTAAATAAGCACCTGAGATGAATTAATGAAAACACCAAGGACCTGTTCGATATCTCTGAGATTCAGTTTTCTTTCCTCAAAAATGTTAATAATAATAATTATGCCACAGATTTGTTGAGAAAATTTAATCAAGAAAAAAGCCATAAAGTGCTGACGGTGTTAAGTAAATGCATGACCTAATAACAGGGAGGTATGGGCAATATTTGATAGTGATGCTGTGACTGACAGCCATGATGCTTGAATATGTAGTAAAGTTTTCAATGAAACCTTGAAAGGATTTGGGAAGGAGAGGAAGAGTGAGGGCTGGTGTAAGAGAAGGTACTCAAGTGTTATGTATTTGAGGGAACTATAGAAGGAAGAGACACTTTAAATTTTAAGTGTAAACTGGTATATTGGATTTAGTTTAATGGCAAGTACTCAATTGATAAGCATTCAATTATGAGAATTCATTGTACCTAGAAGCTATGATGGGGTACATAGTGCTAAGACAGGTTTATCATCATCATCATCATCATCATCATCATCATCATCATTGCATACAAACATTGGCAGATAGTAGCTAATTGAGTTGGTAAGAATACAAATTAAGGTTGTGAAAACAATTGTAATTTTAACCCACATTTTAAAAAATGTAAAATAGTCCTCTTTTTTCTAGCGCTAAGTTAGAATCATAGTTAGTCTAGAATCATCTCTTAGGATAGTAATGCCATTTGTTTTCATCTCTAATTCTGGTTGCACTTACCTTCTGATTTGGGAAGTAACCAAGTAAGCCAAAACCAAAATATTTGGTTCATATTTTATATTTTAGTCTGCTAAATATTTTGTGTTTGTCATTCATTTTCCTGTCATTTTTTGTAATTTTGGTACCTGGCTGTAGAAGGTTGCTTAGTAGATATTACAAAAACACTAGTTATCTAGTCCTGATCAAAACAGGACATTGGGTATATAGCCCTAATTATTATAGGACACTAGATATGTAGTCCTAATCATTAAAGGACACTAAGTTTGTAATGTTAATCATTACTGGACACTAGTTATATTGTCCTAATCACAGCTCCTGATTTTAGAGAGGGAAATTAGAAATCCTTTGTTGAATACACTCGATATGGTACAGTTCACATCTAGAAGGCAGACAAGTTCTCTAAAGAGGGAACATTAGCAGCCTGAGCTTGTGAGAGATGTCAACTGAGAGTCTTCTCACATAGGAAACCCTGCATGGAAAGAAACCAGCACATTCTTTGGTGACATTGTTTTTTATTCTGTTACCTTGAGCACATAAGATTTCATACCTCTTGAATTTAATCGCTCAGCAATTCTCACTGGGCTGAGCTCAGAGTTCAGCTTCAGCTCCAGTATGGCTTCTGCAGAAGTAGGGTATCTTTAATGCAAATTGACATGGTTCTCATGAAAATGTGGAAAGGAGGTCCGACAGAGTGAGTATGGGTTACCACCTACATCGACACAAATAATACCTCCCCAGATGAACACTAAACATGCAAATACCAAGCAGGAATCCCATGTGATGAGGTCAGTATCCTGTGTGATCTACCCACTCCACAGGAGTTTCTTGTTTTGTCTGCCTCTGACAGGATATCCACATCAACCAAAAATTCAGAGTAGGATTAGAGAATCCAGTCAATAACTCTAAAAATCACCATCATTTTCCATCTTGAACAAGAAACTTGATTTTTGCAAGCCTTAGGCATAGGGAAATAAGCCACAAATGGATAGAATAAGCAGACCTTACACATGGAGAAATGACCCAGAAATGGATAGAAGAAAACAAGTCTTTAAAAAAGACTAAATTTATGTATTAAATAGAACATTGAATTTTTATAAGTATTTCAGAGAAACAAAATTCCCTTTCAAAAGTTTTAATTAGTATTTATATTGGCACTACTACCACAGAATACCTGATAGAAATAAGTTAAGGGAAGATAGACTTACTTTAGCTGACCAATGAAAGGGATGGTGTCATCATAGTAGGCAAGGCTTAACCACAACTGGGGCAGCAGGAACACGAGGCTGCTTGCTCATGTTCAGTAGCCTTCATGTTCTGTCCTGAACCTACCAGCTGGGCCCTTCGTGCAGCAGGTCCCATTATCTACTAAAACAGCATCACCAGCTAGGCCTGTAGCAAATATTTCACATCCAACCATAATACTATTGTAAGTAAAAATGTGAAAAATTTGGAATTTTGTTAATAATGATAAAGTCTTAGGAAAACTCTCAGTAAAATAGTAGTAGGAGATGTGATCCTGTTGATATTCACTTTATCTATTTTCTGTTTCAGGGTTTGAACATAATTTTTCATGTAGCCTTGGCTCTCCTAAAGGTATGTCTATTTTCATCTTAAGTTATCAAAATATGTTACTTCTTTTGCTTGGTGCTAAAATCATTCCATTTACAGCCTGTGACTCACTTTAGACTCTAAAAATTTTATTATTTGTGTGCTTGCATGTATGTATGTATATTTGGTGTGTGTGTGTGTGTGTGTGTGTGTGTGTGTGTGTGTGTGTGTGTGTGTGCATGTGCCTCTCTGTCTCTGCCTCTCTCTCTCTCTCTCTCTCTCTCTCTCTCTCTCGTGTGTGTGTGTGTGTGACTGCATGGCACAGCATGCATGTAGAAGTCAGAGGACATCCCTCAGGAGTCAGTTCTCTCCTTCCACTGTGAAATCCAAAATTGAACTCAGGCTACTGGGGTTGCACAGCCATCATGCTAAACTATCTTGCTGGCACAGAGAAAGATGAAATCTCTGAGAAAGTCTGATCCTCTCACTGTCATCCTTTTAAGTTATCATTTATTTGGTATTTGTTTTTCTTAAAACCCATTTACTCTTGCTAACACTTACTCCAAGAACATAAAAGATACTTTCATTCATATGAGCTGTTCAATAGGAGACAAAGTTGAAACCTATTTTCTGTCAAAATGAAGCCATCTTTTCTAAAACTACTTCTTATAATAACATCTCTAGAAGTACCTAAATATATAATTGAATTATTTATAAGCTTCTATAATATGCTAAAAAAAGAAACTACTACATTTCAATTTCCTGTTCTTTTTTTCCCTGATAGCTGGAAACATCTGACACTTTAGAATTAAGTTATAATTACCTTGCTGAATTTTGTATCAAGATATCAATATAGCAGTAAAAGTATAGTAACAGTATAGTAAGATATTTGTTAGCTTAAAAAGCTCAAAGAGGACATTCTGCTATTGAAGATTAAAATTGCCTTTCTTTTCCCCAATAAATTTGTGATTAAATCACAGACATTGGGCCTGAACAGAATCAGTTCTATTTTCAGCCTTTTTATGTGACCTTGCTAAATTAAGTGCTTAGAACTTCAGTTTTGAAATAATAATAAAATTAATTTATAGCATTATAATTAAATAAGATGATATATTAAATTTCTTAGAAACTGCCTAGATATTTACTACCTAATTAACATTATTATTACAGTCACGTCCTCTGGTCCTTGTAACTGTGGAGTAGGTGCTCTTAATCCTGGAGCCAGCTCTCCAGTTTCACACTTAAACTGTTTTCATAAAATGGCATAGATATATATACTTAGTCCTTTCATGAAATTGTGGATCTTGACTTTGATTCTTTTCCTGATATTAAAATAATCAAAACTTTACTACATGCTGTCTCAACAAGACCAGAATAAAGCTTCATAATGACTAGGCAGGGAAAGTATTGTATGGTTGAGACTCAAAATACCATCAAATTATAAGAAAGTACAAGGAAGTCCAACAAGGTCCTAACTTTTGATATAATTTCTAATTTTCTTTTTCACTCTCAGGCATTTTTTGTTTCCCAAAAGTCTTTTCTTATATATAGATAGCTATTTCTTAGTGCTTAGTCTGTCTTTATGTAACCCAATGCTATCCCTCTAGATATAGGAGCTTTACTGTGTACCAGCTTCATACTGGTACCCAGTATTAAGACTGTATGCTAATTGCTTTCTTGAGTGATACATTGTCTTGTTTGTAATATTTTACATTTTTTAGCATTGTAAACCCAGATGTATCCTTGACAGAGGATGTATTTTTGGCCTCTGAGTAGAAGGGCATCTGTTATCTTCTCTAGTGATACATGAACACCTTTCAAATATCATATTGTAGAGGTAGAGCAGTTAGAAAAGATAAAGAAGGAACCACTGGTAAAGTGGGGATCTGTGCTTGTATCTACCGTGTATGTATCCTGATACTGACTCCATACAGAGATAGGACTACATTGAAGTGGCTGTCATCAATCTGATTACCCTACCTGGTAGAAGAAACATTTAAACATATACAATACCGACTGACTTCTCATTTCTCATATGCCCCCCAAAAAAAGGAACGTACATCTGTTTATATAAAAGTTAAACCTGGATAACTTTACCATAGTTCTGAGCTTGACTGAATTTTGGATAGAACCTGTGTCTATATTAGAAGTGATTTCTTATGCACCTTGTGAGCTGAGTGCTAGCCTAAGCACAGCCTAGGTGATAACTGAAGAGGCTGCCCAAGGTTGCCTGAGATGTTATGCATGTGCATAATATACTGTGATCAGGTTTACCCAGTTACACTAGCCTCCCTTCCCCCATTCTGCTGTCCCATTCCTCCATTCTAATAGTCCCCTTTCTTTTCTGTACTTTTTAAAACTCCATTTGTCATGTGGAAGAAAATGTACAACATTTGTCTTTCTGGGTGTCTTTCTGGGTGACATATTGTGCTTAGCATGGTGACCTTCAGTTCCATTTTCTGAAAAATAACATAAACCCATTTTTTTTATAGCCAACAAGTCCATCAAGGGTATTTACTACATTTTCTTTATTGTCTGTTGGTGAGCACTCAGGCTGATTGTATATCTTGACTATTGTGAATAGTGTCCCTGTAAACATAGATGTGCAAGTGTCTGTAATACACTGGCTTGGATTTCTTCAAGTATATCCCCTTTAAGAATAATACAGCTGGATTCTACTTTTAATTTGTAAATAATTTTTATATGGATGTCCAGAATGGCTGCATTAGTTGATATATGGTAAATTAGTGGGTTCCTTTTTCCCTTGACCTCACCACTGTTTTTGTTTTGGTTTGGTTTTGTTTGTGTATGTTTGTTTGAGATAGGATCTCACATATTCATTCAGTAGTTAAGATCATGTAGACACTGAAGCCAGAGTATTTAATTTCAAGTTTCATTTCTAAAAATGCATTAAATAATGCATTCAGTTTATCCCCCAAGAGTATGCAAACTCTTTTACTGCCCCAACGCTGTTTGAAAGTCCGATCCAAAGTCTCCCTAGACTGTAGCAAACTAAACTCTCAGTGCTTTAAAAAGAAGTCACAACAAAAGTTACATGCTTCCAAGATACAGTGGGGACAGACACATGTAAACATAACAGAAAATAGTAAGAAGTCATCCCAAAGTGAGATGAAAACCAAACAAAGCCTTCGGTAAAACTTAAATCTCTACTTGGATGCTGCCAAGGTCTCCTGTCAGCATAAGCTATTCCTGGGCCAACTTAAACCATGACTGGCCTTTCATGTAACTATGGGAAATGAGTCTCTATGTTCTTTGGTTGTACAGGGCACTCCAGATCTTACCTCAGGTGTTGGAATCAAATTTTCATTTCTACATCCTTGAGCCTGGGATGGATGGGGGAGTGCTAAGATGTTCTTGAGTTAGTTGTCCTCTTGTCCAGGCATATAGCACATTGCTTTTTATGTTACAGCAACTTGATATTCCTTCCCCCACAGTTTATACACACTCTTTTTCTGACTAAACTCCAAATTAAAAAGAAAAAGAAAAAGGTCTGCTCATCTCCTTTTCCCTCCCAGTTATCACTATAAATCTGGCTAAATTAACAGGCTAAATGCTTCCCTGCCTTGAATGTTCCTTGAGGACACTATACACCACTTTGGTGATAGCTAGCTTTTTGTAATTAATATTTGAGAGGAATTTTTTAAAAGGCACAATTTAGGCAGACATGACAGCTCAGCAGTTAATTGCCACCAAGCCTGATGACCTGAGTTCAATCCCTGGGAAATTGTCTATGGTAGAAGGAGAGAACCAACTCCGGCAAATTGTTCTGTGACCTCTACAAGCATGCAGTATTATATATACAAATGACCCCTCACATATAAAAAGTAAAAAATTTTGAAAAGGAATAATTTATTTTGGCTCATGATTTTAGTGTCAAGTTTAGATTCAAGTTCCAAGGTCTGTTGGATAGTTTGCTTTGAGACTGTAGTGAGTGAGGTAAAACTCCCTGGTGGCCTAAACACATGGCAAAGGCTCCTCACCCACGAATGGCCAAAAAGCAGAGAAAGACAGGAGGGTTCAGCAGGAAATACCATCCCAACCAATCTACTTTTCCAAGCTGGCCTTACTGCTGAGAGTTTCCACCTCCCTCTGAGGCAGGATCGAAAGGGAAACTTGAATGACATGAGAAGGGAATGAAGCTCTTCATCCAGAGTTCAGTTGAAGTTTTCTAACAGCAAAAGCAACAAGGATATAGCACAGTGACCAGCCACTTCAGGCCTGCCTCCCCAGCTGTAAGCCTGCCATAACTCCTTCAAGGCATCTCCTAAACAAACCTATAGTCTCACTTTAAAAAGAAAATAAAGAGAATTTCTTAGCAGCCTTTTGAGATGTAACTTGACAGTCACCAAAATGGTATATATGGCTAATTCTAAGCTACTTAATTGTGACTCTCTTGAGGAGCCTGCACCCACATTTGGGTATATTTTACCCTGTTCAACTCTCTTCAAGAAGTCCACATCTATTTGAATCAGTGTATTTTCCTTTCTTTTCCTGAGAGCCTCTTTTCCTCCTAACTCTCATACGTAAGCATGTATTAAAAAACTTCTAATAAAGTCTCCAACTCTGCTTAGTTTTAAAGTGGCTGATCCTGAGATTCTTGTGATGGGGAATGTCCTTCTGTGTATGTTTATCTTATTGATTGTTGAATAAAGTGCTGTTTGGCCAATGAGGTAGCAAGTTAGGCGGGACTAGGAGTCACGGAGGATTCTGGGAAATGTAGTAAAAAGAAGTCTTGTGATCCAGGCAGGAAGTGACATAGCAGGCAGACTCATATATAAGTAAGGACAAGAAGGAAGTCGTTCCTTTTTTCTCTTGCTCTTCCTCCTGGTCTCTGCTCTGGAGTCACCATGTGATTCACCGGCAAGAGAGGGTGCCAGCAGGAGGTGTCCTCGATAAGATAAGTCTTATATATAGATTTATGATAATTAAGACTGAGCTAGCAGGTGAGAAATCTTAGTCATTGGCCAAGCAGCATTTGTACCTAATATAAGTCTCTGTGTGTTACTTGGGACATTAACGTGGTG